GATGTAGCGCCGCATGAGATTCATGTCCAGAGCCTTGACTCGCGTGGGAGGCTGTTTGCTGTGGCTGTGCACATAGGTGATGTGCTTGGCCAATCGCAAATCATTGTCCCGATCCGGCTTATCCTGGATGAGCCACAGCAGATCGAAACGGGACAGCAGGGCCGCAGGAAGCTGAATGTTCTGCTCCACGGTGCGACGAGGATTGTAGCGTCCAAAGGCGGGATTAGCAGCGGCCAGGATGGAAACGCGAGCATTCAGGGTCGTCATGATGCCTGCTTTGGCTATCGAAATGGTCTGCTGTTCCATCACCTCGTGAATGGCTGTACGATCCTGATCCGCCATCTTGTCGAACTCGTCAATGCAGCAGACTCCCTGATCGGCCAGCACAAGAGCTCCTCCTTCCAGTGTCATCTCGCCTGTGAGGGGATCCTTCATCACAGCAGCCGTGAGACCCACCCCTGAGGAACCGCGTCCTGTGGTGTACTGGGACCGCACAGCCAATCGGCTAATGTAGCCCAGCAGCTGCGACTTGGCCACACCGGGATCTCCCATTAGGCAGATGTTGATGTTGCCACGAATCTTCATGCCATCGGGCCGCTTGTCAACTCCTCCGACCAACAGAAGCAGCAGCGCTTTCTTCACATCCAAGTGGCCATAGATTTCGGGAGCTAAGCTGGTGGCCAGGCGCTCGTAGAAGTCATCCTGGGCCAATTCCTCCAGCTCATCTGGAGTCAGCTCGGCATCTTTGTCCGAGATCTCGTCGTTCTTGTTGATGCAGATGATGCGCTATAACGAAGGTAACAATACATTAACAATTTATATTTGTTGGATTTAAACGTGGTAACTCACATGAGCTTGGAGGAATGTCTCTGAGAGCAGACCTTGAATCATCTGGGCGAAACCAGTGCGCATCAGTGGCAAGAACACTCCAGAGACCACAATGTGATCACCAGGCTGGGCCATACGGGTGACCTCACCCCTGCACATGATGGTCATGCTGCGTGGAATGTGGCCCACGGGCACCTGGTCGCTGTGCTCCTGCATCTTGACCTCCTGGAACTTGACGAACTTGGAGCCGCGGGTTTGCAAATACAGCCGTCCTCCTGCTTTGTTCACTCGGCAATCATCCGAAGGGCAATCGTGCACGGGCGTGAAAGATAGCGAGTTGACTGGCTGATACGTCTCCGAGCCACAGCGATCGCATGTGTAGGTGGCCACCACCATCATGGGCTTGACCTCCGTGCAGCGTGTTACGATGCCACGAACCGTCACCAGTTTGCCAATATGCTGGGCCTTCACCTCGCGAATAGAGTGCGCCTTCTCCGTGGACAGTGGCTTGAAGCCCACCTCGCTAAATGAGCGAAACAGAAAACGGAGTTGGGGGTAAAATGCGAAAACTGCCCAATAGAGACACTTACAATCGCTTCATCAGCTCCGAGGGGAAGGAGTTCCGCTCATCGCGCTGTTCCATGGGATTCCGGGTGCGGGACTCCATCATCAAGCGGTGCTCGATGTAGACATCCAAAGCGTCCTTGGCGTGGACCTCCTGCTGTTTGTAGCTGGGCAGGAGTTCGGCAATCACATCGCTGAATATGGACGTGTATCGCCGGCAATTGTCGATCACCGCTTCCGCGAGACTTTCATTGAATTCCGCCAGATCATCCAGATCTATGGTGATCAGAACCTGCTCCCGATGGGCCAGCTTCACCAGCTGGGATCCGTAGACGAACTCCTTTTTGCCATCATCGTCGCACTTGCAGAATTCCGACAAGAAGGTCTTGATAGATTCTGCAAGTCAACAAACATTAGATGCGTGATGCCTCGTCAAGATTAAGACATCCTTGCACTTACCTCGGTCTTGGGCATAATCTCGTCGAGCCATTTTGCGCTTGCTTCTGTTGTGCTTTCAACAATGGGACTACAACTTTAGGACAGCTGCTTGCGAAAGATGTTTTGTGGGACGCTGTTTACTGGGAAATGCGGGGAAAATAATGTAAACGCTTCCCGCCAAAAACGCGTTTGATTAGAGATGGCACTGAAGCTAGGGATGTGAAAATATTTGAATGTATCAATACATCGCTATTTTTCTAAAGCAATAAATATGTAGAATGTATATTTTTGTGTCTAACAATTCCTTTTTGTAGATATAAATCAATCAAATCCATAAATGAGAACTCGGATATAAACATAAATAATTATTACCCTCTTATTAGCGAATATTACAGGAAAAACGATAATACTTCTTAAATGTCTGACATTTATTATTTTCTACATGTCATTTTAGTGTAGAGTATTTTCATACACGTCCGAGCTGCCATTCTGATTTCTACATATGTTGCGAGCTGCCACCCCGATTTCTACATGTGTGTGTCAACTGCGTTTGTTTGTTGGCGCTGCCACCTGCTTGCATAAAAACGCGCTAAATTTGAATTTCAAATATTGACGTTTATTCAGGTTTTAAATGAAATTTACAAAAGTTCTCATTTTCGCTTGTCTGCCGTTACACTCATAGCACTATTGCGTATCGCTTTCAATAAACTTGTTGGACTTGCGTTTCCTGTTACATAATTATTTATTGGTTTTTAGGCATCTAAAAGTAGTACATTTATTTTTAGTGCAATTTTCGATTCGCATTGGTTACCTCCGAATTGATTTACAACGTTGATTTTTCGCACATTGCGGCTGCTTTTGCGGTATACATAAGTTACAATTTAATATGTTGCGTTTACGTTTAACTTAAATATTATTAATCACATGCAATAGTTAAATAATAATGATACAAATAATAATTATACATAGTTCAACCAGCGCGCCGGCACACTACGATCTAATTTCGATCGGATCGAAGTGTATATGCGATATATGTATGTATATGCCAATTTGTGTGCGGCGGCAGTTGGCGTTTCCTTTGTTAATTTGCTACTAACTAAATTTGTTGTTTTCGTTCAACTGTTTGCTTTTTACACATTACGCGCTAATCGTTACGTTTACGCACTAGCATATATTTACGATTTAATTAGTTAATTCATTTATGTGTATATATATAGACTTCATTCTTATCGCTGGCGCCATACTCGTATTAATGCATATTTCATATTCATTTGTATATATATATATTTACTTGTTTTTTTAGAGTGCCGCCAGCGCTGCTCTCTGGATTTGATTCAGCAGCGCTCTGCCCCACTGTAAAGTATCCGTAAGATTGCAACATTAGTTTCGATTGAAATTGCAAATTTGCGAACTGTGATTTGTGCGCTGAACTCTGCATTTTCTGCACTCTCTCCCCAAGAAGAAATCCAAGTGCTCTGTAAACTCTAATTAGCTGAATGCATTTTATGACATTTTTCCATTTTCCATTTTCCATTTTTCCCCAAGGTCGTCTTCTCCCTTTGTTCATATAATTTAAGTATTGCTACATATAATATACGTATGTATATATATCAATAGATTTTCATCGATTTTCCTTCGTTTTTTTTCGTTTTTGTTTGCGTATAAAGCTGTAAGTCTTCTAGTTTTTCCGTGCGTTTGCTCAACTAAATTCCATTCGTATGCATTTCGCGTCGACTATCCAATTAATCAATTTATAAATGGTTCGCATTCGTTCAGTTCGAAAGGTGTAGACAACAATAATTTCGCTTTAGTTTAACATTCATTGAGCTACAGCTAACAGATTTATATCCTTTACGTATTTACGTATTTAATATTTTGTGATCGCCCCAAAAAAACTAGCCATTGAATGTGGTGCCACGCCTCTGATTTTAGATTTCTGGTTTCTCGCATCTGTTTACTTGTGTAATTACACCGAAAAGGAACAACTTGCTTTGAACATTGAGCTTTGTGTACTGTACGCTATATATATTAACATGTATCTGAACAAACTGCACACTCTATGGAAGGGGATTCTGCTCGATTCCGAGCCTATTTAGTTTAATTTTCGTTTATAGTTAGTTGTGTTTAGCAATTGCTCGATTCGTATGCAAATATCCAACGCATTTATATGGCACACAAGTCTAGTTGGATTCGGCATGGAAATTCGATGAGCCCTAAATTTGGAAAAGCTAGAAGGAGAGGTGCGCTTCAGGCGTTTCAAGGTTTCAAGTTTCGATGGTGGTTGTGTAAGTTGTTAGTCGATTGCTAGATGAATGCGCTTAGGGCCTATAAATTACTTGTAACAACTTAAGAATTACACAAATAATAATAATAATGATAATAGTTATTAATTCATGATTTAACTCGATTCGTGTGCATCTGCGGTTGCTGTTGCTGTTGCTCTTCTGTTGTGGTTACCTCACTACCCGCCCTCGCACAGTGGGGCGCATTGCGTTTTCTGTGTTCACTCCCTCGGCTGGGGCAGCATCCTTAACTACAGCTACTGAAGAGCATTGTGACTAGAGTGAGGAGCATCCACGTCGCGGTGGCTTCCAGTGGGTTGGACCCACTGCCCTTGCTGCTGTCCCGCGACTCCACTTGGTTGGTGGTGGTGCCTTCGGATTCTTCGATGGGCGTGTGGGGTCCTGCAAATAAAAGCAAGAAGTTATTGACAGGAATGCATAGTCTAACAATCTATTTGGGATGTGCAACAACTTACCATCGCCGGAACCATCTCCGGAGCCATGGGCGCCTCCATACTCCTCCTCATCGTCGCCGATCTGGCCCTCTCCGCCGCCGGAGCCCTCACCCATGTCATTCTGGATGTCGTGCGTCGCCTGTATGCTGTTGGATGGTGCCTGTTGGGGTGTACACGAACATGAATCAAATTCCAAGCGACCAAGTGGTAGTCCAAGCTTACCGCAGCTCCAATGCTCTTGCGGATCTTGATGAGCTTGTCGACCAGCTCGTTCAGCTCGCCGGTCTGAGCCTTCGCATTGAAGGGCACCTCCGGATTATACCGCTGGCTATCAGTGCCCGGATTGATCAGCAGCTGGGTGTAGTCTCCGAAACGATCGCCTGACCAGCAGGAGTGATCCTCACGAGAGTGCTGCTCGTCACAGAAGCTGTGAATGAACCAGTGATTCACTTAGTAAGCTTGTTTTTTCAGTTCATTATTTCCCATAACAACTATTGCGTATTGATTCGCTTATATACTCAATAAGATACAGATAAACAACATGTTTAAGGAGCTGGTTTTGTGGATGCATCGTCTGGCGCACGACTTTTGTTTGGCTCGCCCAATTGCGCCAGTACCTCGACATGTGGGTTTTAAAACAATTTATGTTACATTAAAATATATTATATATTTTGTAAATTTCCAGGGCTGTCGTGTGCCAGTGAAGAATGGATTCTTCGCCAATTTGATATTCTTTGTGGCCATCGTGACGCCGCTGTACTACTGCCTGCTGAAGGACGTGATCGCCATGATCACAAAGCCCAAGAAGCGTTAATCCTCGCCAGGACACTATACGTTTTAGGTCACAGTTTGGTCAGTCAATGTAGTAGCTAGCTCAATCCGAACCCAATCAATACAGTTTGTGGCATCGTCTGAATACTCACTTGTCCACGATGGTCGTGTAGAACTCCTTGCTCTTGTCGATGGTGGACAGAAAGAGCACCATGCCCGGATCCGGGTCGGTGGCCCACTTCACGTTGCTCTTGTGGGGCGGCGGCCGCGCATCCGGCTCTCCGGATGAATAGGGGGTCAGGCTGGGCGTGCCACACGTCTTCTTAACCTGCAAAACAGTAGGGGGAATGTTAGCCATGTAGAGCTCCACTTCCACTTGCTAATCGCCGCCACTCATGCAAGGCGCACGTGTCTCCCCGCCCTCCACTATGACCCATTATTGGGCTGACCAGGTGCTCATCGCGCTGCATGTAAATTGCCACTTTCTGGTGGGGAACTGAACTGCGACTCCGCTCGAATCAGGCATTTTAAAATTGCCAGCCACATGCCAATCGTGCCAAGGGGCATCAATTGGATGTCATGTGCATGCTTAACAAGATCTCGAAATGCCAAAGATACTTTTAGAGACTGCCACTGCAGCGAGCAGAACGAGTTCGAAGGCCGGAACTGAATTTCGATTCATTAAATTCGTTTAAAATGTTCATAAATTAACCAGCAATTAAACCATTAAACGATCTCGTCCTTGGCACGCCATTTAACGAAATCGATCGCATCTTCAGATAGATGTCTGAAAATCGGAGCTGTGTCCTTGAGATATTTTGCACTCACATCCGATATGTTTATGCAATAGGGATAGTGCATTCAATGAATTATTGATGTACGAAAGTAAACATTTGCTCTTAGTTCTTCGACAGGATCTACCCACCTTTTTCTCCAGTTCAGGCCCATTGTTCATGGCGGCCATGATTGCCTCAGAGAAGTAGGACTGCAGGTGCTTGATGACGTTGATGATGCCGCTGTCCGAGAGAATGTGGGTGGTGACCAGGTTGTTCAGGGCGTCCACTACACCCGACCAGGGACTGTCCAGTAGTCCGGCATACTCCGCCGAGCAGCCGCTGCAGATTAGCATGATATTATCTTAGGATAACTAAACATTCGAATACCCATTCCGCAGTTCCACTTACCGCATCACGTTCTTGCAGTAGCCGTAGCACAATTTCGTTTCGCTCCTGGCCATCGAGTGGTGGCCATTGCAGTTGGGGCAGTAGTGCATCTTGAGGAGCTGCAGCTTGCACGTGTCCGTCAGTTGTTTGCCATAAAGGGCGTCCGCCTCGCTGAGGACCTCGGCGGCCTGGAGCAGGGCGTTCATGAAGACAGTGGACATGTGGACACTCTTGCCCAGGCTGGACTGCACTTGCTGGGGAATATCGCCGAACGGGTGCATCTCGTCGAAGTTGTGCTGCAGGCAGTTGACATAGTCCTCGTGCAAGTCGCCCAGATTGTTCTTGGACAGGTGGACCATCTGGTGGTAGGCCACTGGGAACAACTGGACGAAGAACCGCTTCACAGCCTCCTCCAAGTTGCTCTGGACACTTCCGATTCCTCGCCTGCCCAGCTGGCCATTGCTGTTCGTGTAGTTGGAGGTGAAAATCAGATGGCTGAAGGGGGAATTACTCAGTTAGATTCAAACTTCTATAACTATTGCTAGATCGTAGTTTGATTAGTGTAAAGATACGACCACTTACTTCAAGATTTCGGTGTACAGTTGGTGGATCATCATTCGCGATGGAGGCATCATACGGGTATAAACCTTCGAGAAGAGCGAGTGGGTCATGTTCTCCGAAATCTGCGCCAATTCCACGACGTGACCTGCCGGAATGGAAACAGAGAGGAAAGCATCCATGAATGTGTTGTTATGGTTATTGTGATTCCTAGCGAAATTTAATCACTTTGCCGCTAAAGTTTGCCTGCTGGGATTTGCTGGCAACTTCTGCCCTAATGGACTGGCTGGGATTTCTGCCCACTTGGAAGGAGGAATTGTTGCCATTGCTCTTTATTTGCGGGCAGGAGTAAGCTTTTAGTTAATGAAATACAATTTAATATGGCTCTTATCCTGGCCAGCATAAAGTTGGGCAAATAAATGCTGAAGTTCACTTGTGAAAATAAATACATTACTGGCATTCTCTGGTTCAAAAAGGGTTACATTTGTGCTTATTGTTTTCTAAAACATTTTGTATACCAACAACTGAAATAAATGCCACTAAAAGTTGAGTTACGGGTTTAATAAGTTCAAGCAATATATTGTGCACCAATAAATAAATAACAGTTTGCTGCATTGAAATCAGATACAAACGCTTCGGATATGTGTTTCATTAGAGTCCCCTTTTAATTACCATTTATCGACTGCTATCTATAATCCGTCAATCACCTGGCGAATCAGGCGGTACAGGTTGTTAAATTGTCTTTATATTCAGACACTAATCACAGAGCTGAGCGTAAGAAAAACCAAATGCGACACAACGTTATCTGTCAAGGTGTCAGCAGCAGTTGCGCGAATTGATTTGGATACACAGATTGGCTATCGATACTCACAGATACGAAGGCAGGCTCGGATACAGATACACTCCTCTGGCAGCCTGTCATTAGCGCAGATTACAAATGGCCAAGGCCAGTATCGTTCGTTATACTCGATGTACTGTTGTGTGGACGAGTGAGGGGTTATCTGTATAGCATCGGGGAAACTGTCAAATCGGCGTGTGATTTCTCAGGCACCGAAGAACAACACACACATTGACCCGCCCTCTTTCGCCCCTGACAAATTCTAAATTGCAATATGCTGTCTTCTATATCGCTTTCAAACGAAAGTGTCAATCTTTCTGTTAATTGGCAACAAAAGAACGCAGAGCAGAACAACAGAATACACACATTTCGACAGGGCCAAAGTGTTTCCAGATTTGTTCGTTGGTTTTCTGTATGTTCTGCGGCTCATTTTGATTTTGATGTTGGAGCATTTCCGTTCTCAGCGTTTGAATAAGTCTTTGTCTGATTGTCTGGCTTTTGGGCTTGGCTTGGAGCCGCGTCGATGTGTCAGTTTCTTGGGGTCTTGGGGCTTTGGGTCTGCATTTATCGGCTAATGGCCTTTGATGCGTCACCCGGGCGAGCAGAGTTTACCCTTTTTAATTAGCAAAACTTACGAGCTGGGGCTCCGATTTTTGGGTAACCCAATCGTTCAGCAGAGGATCATCAATTTGGTGGGGCTTCGCATCAAAATAGTTTCTGGTGTGACAGTCCAGGGGTAGATCTTGGAGATCTTAGAACTAATAAACCATTTAAAGCTAACTATGTGTTATTTTTATTTATTTAAAGGTGTGTAAGAGCTGGCCATCTGCTGGTATCGCTAATCGCTCATAAGTTGCACAGGATGCGATAAACAATATCAGCCAATTGATTTAACGCGTTTGCGATACACAACAACCATATTAGCGTCAGATACACGACGGATGGATGGAGATGCAGGTGGCGGGGGAAATGGAGCTACACATCCTGCCGCTAATCTCATTGACGTGGCACAGTTAAAATGCAGCGTCGACTAGCGGAAACATTTAATTATTGACACGCCGCGTTGCGATGTATTCTCACACTGGCGACATCGGGATCCCAGCTCGATTGGCTCATTAAATCGGAAAGGGTCGCGAGGAGCGGCTCCAAGTGAACCATTATGGGGAGTTGGAGCTGCTGGAGCTGCTGGAGAGGAAGTGCGGCTGCAGACAACAATTACATGATTGAAATGCCCAAAATAGCTTCTATTGATTGCCAATCCATAGCAGCTTGGGCAATTTATCCGGATTCCCAGACTCCTTTCGATGGATATTCGGATGGCTTGATTGCAGTGGCATTTCCTACGATCCAATGTCTAATTGCAATTTTAATGAACTCACTGCGAGCAATTGTCAGGGGGAAAATGCTGAAAGCGGCCAACGCTGCGTATGCTTGATATGTATTATTGCAGCTGCTTTTGTTGGCTTAATGCGCTCAATTAGGTTTTGGGAGCCACAGAAATACACAGCCGCCTCTGGTGCTATGCATTTGTATCTTTGTATCTCATAAATTGCTAACTCAGCACTTCACCTGCGGGCTCCCACAAAACTTCATATATGCAATTTGCCGGACTTTTGCCGGGTTGTGCAACTAATTGCAATTTCTGTCCGGCTCTATCTCGCCATCTCTGTCCGTCCCAGCGCCCTCTCACTCCCACACCCACTTACACTCGCACCTTTGACAATTAGCCAAGAGAATTTTTATTGTGGCTGCCAGGAGTTTACCCGTATCTACGCTCCACCCGACCAGCAATCAAATATAAAGCAGGCCAAATGGCTTTCCCAATGAAACATGAAAATTTCATTAAGCCCGGGCACTCTTCTACACTTTTTTTGTTTGCTAGTGCTTTTTAAAGACCTTCCGGGTGGGAGGAAAATGGCAAAGGGATTCACGCTCGTCACACATGGAAAATCGCACTAATGGGCAAACAGACAATGAAATTGAATTAGACAACAAAGTGCGGCCAGTATAGTTCAGGTGGTATAGTTATACAGTTGGGAAGATTGGGGGGAAAGGGCCCAATGGAGCTCCTCTGGCCAAAACGAAGACCAAGCCCGTGACCAGAGACTAAAAATCCATTCTTATGAATGGGAAGTTTAGCATTTACACAGGCAAAAGTAAAAGAACTTGTAACTTATGTTTAAAAATAAGAACTAAAACGAAGAGCTGTGCCTTCTTCTAAAGATAATTTTGAGAAGTTAACTTCCAAGAGCAGTAAGCAGTTAAACTCATTAAATACGACATAAAAAAGGGATGTTTTTAATAGAATTTTTGTGCCAGTGTTTTGCTTAGCTACTCGCGTAGAGTGAATATCGGAAAGGCTGCGACTTTGGCGTCTTTGGCTTCATTGCTTCATTAGAAGTCGGCGGTTGGCTGGCAGGAGCGAGATTAGCATGCCAAGTTGCAGGGAGCGACCGGTTTGGGATTCGCTTTCGGCAGCGGATGGGGCACTTCGCTGGGGATTCGTCGTGGCTCGGGGCAAGCCCCAAATGGTGCGAAAGGCGGGGGCGGGGGCGGAGGATCGCGGGCAGTGGCAGATGCGACCGCGGTCCA